CCCCCGGCCGCCCCCGAGCGCGGCTCACCACCCCCGCGGGCGCCGCGGGCGCGCCGCCCCCGTGGCGCCCCCTGTCGGCGGCCGAACCGGCGACCCTTCCGCCGCGCCCGCAAACCCTCCAGTGACGGGGCGCCGCACCGGGGCATGGTCACGCTCTCCGCGCGCCAGCACGTGACTAACGTGACGTGACACGTGACGTGTGACACGCCGGACGGTCGTCACGGGTAGGTGCTACCTGACGTCGTGGTCGCGCGTGGCGGCGCCCGGCCCACAACACAAGCACGCGCCGGCCGAGGCGACTATAACCTCACTCTCGGGCGCCTCTGTCGCCCCCCACACCCGCGTGTCGCGACGGGCTCCTCGGAGCCACTGGACGGGGACGTTTGGTTCAGCAACCCGCGCTCACCGCGGATGAGAGAGGCAAGCTCACGTCGCCCTTTTGTTCGCCGTCGTAAAATTTTGTGACGTCGTCGTAAGTAGCGGTCGACGGCAGAGGAGGTGGAAGTAGTGGCCGAGCTCGGTGCGCCGCCGCCGGACCTGCCCAGCTAATGACCGTGCGCCACAACAACCCCTCCGCCAGGACTTAACGGCCATCCTCGCTGCGACCCGCCCCGCCGGCCCCTGCTGGACACTCCAGCTTTTATTTGCCGGTGAGCATTACAGTTGTTGCGGTTTTTACGTTGCTGCGGGTGTTTTTCTCTCTGGGCGCGCCCTGCTCGCCCTCTCCTCGTTCGTTGTGCGTCCTGCTCCGTCTGCTGCACCCCGAGCGCATCACGCTTGTTGCAGGGGCATGGCCCGCCGGCGCCCGGGCCTCACTGCCACGGCGGCGCCCCCCGCAAGACCTCCAGCTCCAGCAGCCCGGCGCGGTCCAGCACTGCCGTAGGACCTGGGCCGACGACGGGAGGTGAGTGCTGAGTGCGCGGCGTGAGGGAAGGGTACTTCGGGTACTTCACTCCCAACAAAACCAGCCGCCTGATTCAGAAGATCGTTCAAGAGGGGCTCTCCCATACCTGCCCCATGAGTGCAACAAGGACGGAGCTATACGGGGGTATAGGAGAGCCTCTCTTAAACGATCTTCTGAACAGACGACTTCTCGCGGCGCGTTTTTTGTGCTGTATGTGCCCATCCTTCTCCTCTTGCCACCAGGTTGAGATCATCGACGGCCCGAGGTCACCCTGGGTGTCGACCTGGGCCTGGGCGACTCGCGCGGCGGCGGCGGCGGGGAGTGCGCGGCGGCGCGGGTGGACCCGGTGCGGCGCGGCTCGGCGCGCGGGCGGGCGGACGCCCCCACCGACGTCATGCTCGCCCTGTCGCTGTCCCCGCACCACGGGGCCGCGCACGCGCACCACAGCCACGGACACGGCCTCCACGGCCACGCTCTGCACGGGCACGCTCACGCCCACGCCCTGGGCGGCCCCGTCGGCGGCGCCCCGGTAGGCGGGCCGCTCGCCGCGCCCCCCGCCGTCATGGCCCCGCTCCCCGCGCCCGCGCCCGACGTCCTCCTCGCCCTGCTCTCCTCCAACAAGGCGCTGCAAGGTGAGTCGACTCGACCCGCTCGAGGGTAGTTAGTTAGCACGCCCCCGCCCCGCGCACCCCACCGGCGCGCGGGGGCAGACTCTTTAGCCTCGCTCGGTGGGAAGGCTGCTGCTGTTGGGACAACGACCCTCCAACGCCTCGTTGAGTCCCCAACGACTTGGCTGGACCGTGGCCCCTCCCTCCCTCCCCTCGCTCGCACGGCCCCGCCCGCGCCCCCACCGCGCCGCGCCGTGGCGTGGCGTAGCGCAGCGCGGCGGCCCCGTGCCACCCCCGCCATGGCGGCCCGCCCCGCCCTGCCTTGAGAGGCGCATCCGCACGTCAAGCGACGCTGCCGCCTTCTGCCAACCCCGCCGCTGGCTTTTTGTCTCCCCGTCTAACCCGGCCCGCAAAGCCAGCAGGCTGCGCGTCTCCGGCGCCAAATATTAATCTCGAGTGACAAGGCTCGGGCAGGCGAGGCGAGGAACAAGGCGCGCGCGCGCGGCGCGGGCGGCGCGGGGATCAGCGCGCGGCCGGAGCAGGGGATCCGAATCCCACTGCGGGATCAAAGAGAACAAGACGTGGCGCCGGCCCAGCCCGGCCCGGCCCAGCCCAGTGTCAAACTGTCATCGGGATTATTCGCCTCCCCGCAGGCGCTTTGGAGCCTCGGCCGGAGCAGGCTGCTGGCTGAGGGCGCTCCCCGGGCGGGGCTGCGCTCCGTCTTGTAAGCGGTGCAATTTGTGTCTGCTCGCGGGCTGGGACGGGAGAGTGAGGTGCGAGCAAACTCTCTCTCTCCGCCCCCGCCCGCGCACCACCACCGCGGGAGGACTCTAGGAGAGCGATGAGCACTTGTCGGCCCGTCCCTTAGATTAGCGGGACCACCACGACAATTTGGGCCGTTTTTAAGAGCGCGCGACGTTTGATGAAGGCAAAGAAGGTTGCCGCGTGGCCTCGAGGGAAATTCGACGAGCAAACTGCCCATGCCGGGGGCTGCTGCTGCCACCGCTGCTCGCGGTGAGGTGCAGGACGCGCCGTAAAGAATGAGTGCGAAAAAGCGAGAGAAGCTCAATAAGTCCTCTCGAAAATCCTCGCGCTTTATGTACAACGCCGACTTGGCTACATGGTTTTCCCCACCAAAGTTTTTCGGTGACGCGAATTTCGTCTTGCTTGTTTTACTATTGCCTCCCGCCCCCCCTTCTGCGCGATGCCATACCTCCCGGCGGGCCGAACCGGGCCGAACCCTCGGGCCACGACGGGGGAAGTCACAGGGAAATGTCGGGGAAACGAGAGGGAAAATAAGGAAAGAGGAGGAGAGCGAGGCAAAAAAAAATAAAAATGAAAATGAACAGTGACTCCGACCTCACGTCTTTCGCGAGATCTCACCGGCGTCAGTGGCACTGCGTGGCGCGGGGCCCGCCCCTCTCTCCCTCTCTCTTCACCCCTCCTATTTCCAACTCCTCTTCCCTCCTTTCCAACGGCAACATTAATTTTTCATCCCGCCCGGCGGCGGCGCGGCGGCGCTTCTCTTGGTTCGGGCGCGGCAAGACCTGCGTGAAACCAGTGCACCAAACGCCATAGCCCAGCTCCTTCGCTTTTCCTCGTTTCTGAGTAACGAAGTTTGGCGGGGTGTGGTGGGGCGAGGCGGGGCGAGGCGGGGCGAGGCGTGCCATGAGCAGCTCTAGGACTCTTGGAGAGACTGGAGAGACGTCCCCCGCCGCCCGCCGCGGCTGCTTGTCCCTCTGCCTCGCCCTTCATTCCAGTGCCCACCCACCCACCACCTCTACCACTCCCTTCCCCGCACCCCACCACACCGCCATGAGGCAAAATAAGCCTCTGATACTATTCGCTGTCGAGCTTTCCACTAGTTTTGTCAAACTAGAAGTGTACGGTGATCATCGACTCGCACTCGCACCCGCCGGCGCACGGAGATCCAGCAAAGAAAGTAAGATCCATTTTCCATAGAGGGGACATAATGAGTGTGGTGTCATGTAGCTGGATTCTACCGCGGAAAGCAGATTGACGGTTTAAAAATTGAAGTGTTTGCAAAACCGACGAGCAGGTCACGCCGGAGAGTATATGTAGCAATAATGAAACAATCAAAAAAAAAAAAGAGCGAGAGAGAGAAGAAAAAAAGATAGTCCTCGTTCCTGTCGCTGTTTTGAATGTTGAAACGGCTCTTAATTGTGTCGTGCATATGGTGTGAGCCACGCCAAAAAAGTTCAAAAAAAAAAAATTACAAAAAGAAAAAAAAAATGCCGTGGTGGCGCCCCCCAAGTGATTGGAGAAGGGGCAAAAACGAATCACGGATCAGCAGAGGGCGGGCCGATCTACTACGGGCCCTACCGAACCAAACCGCAATACGGAACACAAAACACGATCAAACTTTCATGGCGAGCGGCGATCCCATCACGCGGCCGGCGGCGGCGGGGCAGATCTGCTGCGCGGTCGGCTGTACGGGGGGCGGCAAAAACCGAACGGACATAACGGTTGGCCTATTCCTGCCCCCCCCCCCCCTTTCCGGTCAGATGACCATAAGTCACGTGACAACACTCGATTTGGGCGCAACCTCGGCGCGCGCCAGTAACTTTACAGCCCGGCCGCGGGATGACCACCCTCCCGGCGGCCGGACGCTCGATATATACGCCCTTCATGGCCTCGGTCGCGGTGCGATTCCACGACACTTAGGCCCCGCCCTCTCGCGGGAGGAATTTATCCCGAAGATCGCCGCGCGAAACTCGCCGATATGATTTACGCCACATACGGAGGCCGTTAAGCCTTTTGCTTTATTTGATTTACTTCGCCGCGCCATTCACCCCCCCCCCCCTTTTCCCCTTGCCCTCTGGCCTCGGCCAGATTTCGGATGGAAGGGGGACGCGCCAGAGCCTATAGTCAGGCCCAGAGTGCTAGATAACAGCCGAGGCGGTGGAAAAAGAGACGGGATGAAGTGTGGGTGGAATGCAAACGACAGTGTCATTTATTTCATCGTGTCAAAATTATGTACGTCAACAAATTATTACAAGGGAAGAAAATGTGCGCGGTCATTACCACTTCCATGTCCATTGAAGTTGCGCTTGCGCTCCCCTGCTGCCGTGGGATTCTCAACCGACTGAGAAAGAAGGAAAACGCCCCTTCCCTTTTCACCGCAGGTCGCGATCATAATGCTATCAATGATATAAAATTTGCAGCAGGGGGTTCGCAGTTTGTTCTCCCGACTGGTGAAAACTTTCTGTTCTAGAGAGGACAAGTTATCGCCGTCAGTAGAGAAGTGTGTTGAGCAGGCACACCTCGACGGAGGCCGTTTAGGAGGTCGGCAGGGGTTGTGCGGCCCGACACGCACACACGCTCTCCCACTTGCTCTCCGTGGTGAAGCGGACCCTGCTGCTGCTGCAGGTCCTGCCGGTGCACACGGCGGGGTGGATAAGAGGAGTCCCCACCCGGCCGGCCACCCCCTTAGGGTGGCGGCGGGGCTGCTCGGGAAGGGCCAGGGGTGGAGCCAGGGGTGGGGCCTAAGGGTGGGGTCCGGGAGGGGGAGGGGGTGGCGGTGGACGAGGCGGCACCGCGCGGCCTCCCTGCGCCTGCGACCCTCACCCTCCTCCTTGCGCCCTGCACATCCATATTGCTGATTAAACTGGTGGCGTGGCGGGGCGTGGCGGGCGGAGGGAGGGTGGGAGAGGAGGGTGGGGAGGCGGAGGAGAGGGAGGGAGGCCACTCACTTAGATTGGAAGAGGCGAGCTGCTCGGGAAGGGGCAGGGCAGCGCGCGGGGGGCGGGTCGGGGGGTGCGGGGTTACGGGCCAGGGGGTAGACGGGGGGAGGCGGACGAGGGGGCGGTGTCTTTAAATGCCCTCCGGTTTGTCCGCTCGGTTTCCGCGGTCATCGCGTAGAGCTCCGAAGCCGAGCAGGGAAGGCCCCGGGCTTCTGGGATTGTGTTGGGCACAGGAGGAGAGGGAAAGAGAGGGCCAGGGCAGGCGCGCGAACTAGGGGCTCATGTCGTCGCCGGGGAAGAGTTCCCGCCCGTGCCTTTCAAGTTAGAACGCGGGCTTGGTGTGGAGCGTTGGCGGCCACTTTCCGCTTCGTCAACACGCTGCCGCCGTGCCCGGCCGTTCTGCTCTTGCGCGGCCGTCTCGCGAATGTATGGCGGGGAAGAGGACGACAGCAGGGTAGTGCACACCGGCGTGGCAGGCATCGGTTCGCAGCAACAAGTCCATCACTTTGGTGGCTGGCTCGCGGAAATGGAGCAGGCCTAGACACACCTATATCCTCCCCGGTGGCTGCCCGCCCCACCCCTCGCGGCCACCCCGGCCACCGCTTGCCCGCCCCTCGCCCGCACCTTGCCCGTCCGTCACTCCGTCCCCGTGGGTTCCACTTGGTGTTCCACTCGGCTGCTGCTGTATAGGGTTCACCAGCCTTCGACCTCATTTCGAATACAAGGCAGGGCTGTGCTCAGACATTCCGTCTCCGTCGCCGGCGTCGTCTCGGTGCGATGGGCGTATGAGAATGTTTGCGATGCAGGAAGCGAACTCACCGCGCCCCGCCCCCTTGTGTACCCCCACCTCCCCGCTCTACCCCGACAACGACCTCCCGCCAACCACCTTCCCTGAATTTTTATCTCTTTATCATCTTCTCGTTCTCTTCTCCAGTGCGATGTCGTTCTCTCTCCCACCTACACAGTGGATCGATGTAGTCCTGGGGGCCGCGAGGCACCGGCGAACTCTGTTACAAAAAAAAAGAGGGAAAAATTGGGGCGAGGGAAAAGTAACTGTCGACGCGATTGGGATTTTAATAATAGAATTTCGTGATCAGCGTAGCGCTTCCGGTTGACACAAGCCAACGAGGGAAAATAAAACTGAAATGTAAAAATACTAACAGCACTTGCGGGTTACATATTGAAAACTGCTGAAAACTACAGTAGTACAGTCATTCCTTGATAATCTTCCTCGTTTTGGGCTTCGGTGCTGATTTCGTTTCCGGTTTTGGTTGTTTTGCATGAGCAAAGAAAAGACAGGACGGGGTATAGAGGTATAGA